TGTTTCAAGCATCTGCTTTAAGTCTGGAAAAAGTATCTGGATCTACTTGGGGACCAATGTAGAAAATCAAATTACAATATCAAGCGCAAAATCTTGTTTCCTTTTAAGACATTCATTGCTTTTTTTTTTTTTTTTTACAGTGCATAAAAATACCATATTAAAGAGAAAAATATCCGAACTTAATTTATTGTAAGTTAAATGCTTATTAACTCTGAAAGTTATTTCAGACCCTTCTTTAAAATTCTCTGAATCTTTGAGTTGGATAAAAGTTTAAGCATTTGGATAACAAAGGCCCAATTATAATTAGAACATAGTTCAAGATAGTAGAGAATGCCTTCTATATTTTTACCTCTAATCAGACTAAGATGATGAATATGTCATTTTAGTTTAAGATACCTTGCTAAAATGTCCTTGTTTAATTTTCTGAAGCATGTGTTTTATCTGCCCTTTTTTTGAGAAAGCTGTACTTCCAATTTGCCCTTTTGACGATAAAAGGTTTTTCTGTAATATTAAGAATGTTGGCTTTACATTTAAATTAGTTTTTAATAAAAAAAGAAATTAATGTCTCTTTTAAAGGTCTGACATTAAATTTCTAATCTCAAGTGCAAAAATATGAGCAGTGTAGTATTTATCTACACTTTATGAAAAATACTAAAATAATTGTTTATTTAACTAAATAATAAGAAAATTTTATCTTTAAAAATATGCTTTGGTTCAAAATGGAAAACATGTGATGACCATGAGATTATTTTCTGTATTATAACAACCTTTGCATGTATAAGAAATTAACATTTTGTAATTTGTAAAATTCTTTGTGACTAAATTTTAATAGTATGTTAGTCAAATATTGCTTTCCTCCAGTCTTGCTGTACATTATATAACTTAAACTCAAGCACACCAAAAAAAAAAAAAGTGAGGAGAAGCTGTTAAGACCAGAAAAATGTGAAATAGGAAGGTTACAAAGATAATACTATTCACAGATTTAGATGTTATTGTGTCTCAAGTTAAGAACAGACTGTTTAGCTTAATGAGCAGGCATGTTGTGTCTTTCAAAGCTTGGCAACTCAATATAATTAGTGTACTAATAGCTTTAGTATTTGATACAGCATGATTCTGGAACTTAATTGTAGTTGTCATATACCATTTAAATGAGAGCTTTGGCATTATTTATTGTTTATCATCTTTAGTAAATATTATTTGACCACTCTTGTCAAGATATGTAAGAAAAACTTTCTAGAAACTTTTAAACTCTTTATCTTTAACCATTACATCTACCAGTTAAAACACATTTCTTCTCCACCAGCAAAGAGCATGGTAAATTCAAATTGAATCACTCTCAATCTTTATGTTGTTGTGAGATTTGGATGGAATATATTACCACAGAAATAAACACTGAGAATTGTTCCAATCTCCCTCGCTCGTCTCCCCCACGCCTGCCTTCACCCTGCTAGTTGTCAGGGAATGTAGCCAGTTAACCTAGGAAGGTACTATGTGCCATTGCTGACCTAAGGAAAGCTTTTCAAAGGCATTGATATTATAATTCTATGTGGAACAAGTCAAAATTATACAGTTAGTCATTTGGGAACTGTTAAAGCTGTTCCAGAGCTGCCCTAGCTTCACCCTCTGCTCACTGAGAAGAAAGGTGTGGGAAAATGCTTAATTTCACAGCCGTAAGGAACCTGTACCAATGCCACTCCCCATCTTCTGACAGAAGTCATAATACGGCAAATACCTGACGTTTCACATACACATGAGAACACTTAAGTACCCTCAGAAGCTAGTACCTGGGCCTTTTGCTTCCATACTCTAGTGATCAGAGATACACTGGATGCCTGTGTTAGATGTGGCACTTTTTGGTGCAACCTGACACTACACTGACCTCAGTGCTGCTTTTTTAAGGAAGCATGGCCATACTCTCCAAAGTACAATGCCTGAACTGATAGAGAACGTGTAGGCTGTGGTCATATTATTAGGGGCCTTCAGCTGTCCATAACATGTCTTGGAGAAAAAGTGGCTGCGTCCTTAAGCAGGTGTACATTAACGCTGGTAACTCCCTGCAGGAGTAAGTGACTGAGAATGTATGACTCTAATAAATATTTAGTAGATAAATGAGTGGATTGATTAAATAATTAATATCCCTTCCTGTCTGAATTTCTCAGTAGTAGAGGGAATACCATCTGGTAGATAGAGGCAATTTGACTGGTTTCTTTTAGACAATGTTCCTAAAACTATTTTTTGCTCTTAAGGAAATACACATTGGTATACTTTATTTTATTCTAAAGAAATTGTGCTATTATGAACACACCATTTTTAGTAAATATTTTTGAATGATTTATTTAATAAATTGATAGCTGACTACAGGTATGACTTGGACATGCGGCATGTAACTAGAATACCAGTGTCATATATTAGGATCCCCCCATCATAAAAGAGATTCAATGGCAATTTCAGTGGAAGGAAGAAATTCCTTTTGACTTTGTGGATCATGGAAGGTTACATGGAATTTGAGGTATTTGAGCTGAGATTTGAAAAATTGATAGTGGGATGTTTCAGAAATGAAATAGAGCATGCATAGAGATATGAAAGCATAGGTATTTGTAGCCAATTTTGACTTGCCTTTTAATTCAAACAATAGAATGTGCCACATGAAATAGTGGGGAGAGAGGCAGAAAGCAGAGTAAGTTGCCATATTTCTGAACTTTCTATGACAATATATTATTTTTCTGAATCATTTTGCTTTTCTATCTCATTTATTGTGAATCTTCTATATATACAAACAATCATATTGTCTTAATTCACTTTAAATCTCAGCCTGGATTTGCCTGGTTTTTTTTGTTTGTTTGTTTTTGTTTTTGATATTCTAGAGTTGGATAAGATGTAATTATGGGAACAATTTTTGTCATCATTAGTTTCACCAGAGAAATCCTATATATTTGTCAGGATATTTGGAACAATGACTTGCACAGAATTCCCTAGCTTTTAAATCAGCATAAAGTAGATGGCTGTCTGCAAGCCTTCCATAATATAATAATAATGATAGATTAACAGAATCCAAAATACCAGTATTTGTTTCCCTAATGTAATGGACATAGTGAGATGTGTTTTATTAACACAGACTCAGTGCTTCAGCTGCTATTACAACATTTGAGTCTTCAGGACTAGCTTATTGTTTTCCACCTCCTGTGAGAGAACACATGGTTGAGGCCAGGCCGGCAGGCAGAACAGCCACAGCAAGGTATAAGCTAGAGGTGAAACCCAAGGGTACGGTACATGTAGCATAATCTCTGAGTGATAAGATACACCATCGATTTAATAACTGCTCTAAAAGAAAACAGGGTAATGACACTACCAGTGAAATTCTTTCATCCGCTGTAAGAAGAGGCTCATTTTCCAAAATGTTACAACTAATAATAAAATCTGTCACAGAATTAATGAAAAAGGTAAGTTAGTCTTGTGTCCCAGAAACAAGGTGGAGGTCAGAGACTAGACTAGGTATCAGGCCAAACTACATGTGTTAGAATTGGAAGTCAGCAAACTAAACCAGGGGTCCGGCATGGATGGGGGAGATGAAGCAGGAGCTGAAGGGTCTGGGCATGGGTTAGGATTGGATGTGTTTTAGGGATCGGGTTGAGCGCAAAATCACCAGGAGGAGAAGTTAGACAAGGATGCTAGGAATGTAGTCCCTCCCCCACAAAGTGAGTGGGCAGCGGCAAATGCTTTGTCAATTTCCAGGTTAGAGGGGATGGGTGGGCCCTGTTATCCTTCACTGAATGGTCAGGTGAGGGCAACAAGGTGTCTGAGGTTGGTGCCAGGCCCTCTATGTTCTTTCTGCAGCTGTAACAGATATTTGCAGCCCTTCAAGGAGGTCTTACCCGATCCCATGCTCCCTTGTACAGTTTTATGCAGTATTGTTTCTTTTCTTTGTTATTCTCACACTACATCTTAGATACAATTTTAAATCTTTTGGATGCACCTACATTTTTATGCAGCCTGGTTCTAACGCTACATTATTTTTATTGAACTTTGAAAAAAAATCATTAATTCCATCTGTGGTATATCCATGCTTTATGTAAAAAGAAAAAGCAATATAAGACCATACATTTTAAAAAATGATATTGTGAGCACAAAAATAATATACAATAAAGGACTGTGTCTTATTTATCTATTAGGTAAGTAGACCTTGCACACTCAGTAGATGCTCAGTACACTTTGGTTGTATTAAACAGGGTATTAAAGCGTTATCTTTAAACATTCGTGCATGCTGTGTGTTCTAGGGTCTGTTTAAGATATATGGTTATCAATAATAAATTAGTACTTATTTTAGCAGAATGAATAGGAATTAAATTAAGCCTAATGTTTTAAATGCCATACCTGATATTTTGATATTACAGTCCTCAAAATATTTCATTGATATCCCCAGATACCTAAAGCGTTCTTAAGATCCATGGCAAAGAATTTAGAATTGGTCATCTTAAATTGAAAGTGGTCACAGTTTTAAGCTCATTAGCCAGGTGAGGAGCAGACACAATGCAGATGTATTAGAAAAGTATGTGTCATTTTTTAAAATACTTACAGGGACAAAAATTTTTATGAAATTTGGTAAATGCACAGGAAGATTTTTTAAATCCATACATTGCAGTAGCACACAAAATAACTTTTCTGATTCAATTTCATAAATTGCTACATGGAGAAGCACCCTCTAGTAGATAATACCCAGAAATCAGCACTTAATATGGCAGTAATGGTTATTGCTGTCATTCTTTACATCTTTAAAAATAATTAAGCATTACTGCACAGACATTATAAAGTTCCCCTATCACCATTAAGAGGATATTCGAGGTTTGATGTAATTTAGCAAATTACATTATACAGTAGTTAAGGTTTTTATGTAGTGAAGTAAAATGCGTAGTAGTTAAGCACACTTACCATATAATGCATTGTACAGAGTTACACGTTCCAGCTGCTGCCAGCTTTGTTCCAGTGTCATTATTGCTTTGCAGGCTGACGTTCCTCAGGGAGTGATTCGAGTGCAAGCTCCCCATCTTTCGAAAGTTTCCATGGCAATACAGCTAACTGAAGAACTAAAAGCCAGTGATGTACTTGCCAGGTTTCTCAGCCAAGAAAGGTAGAGGCTTGTTTTGTTTTAATTATTCCATGGTATAACTCACTTGCTTGCTCATTTGCTCTCTCTCTTCCTCCTCCCTCCCTTTTTTAACTATGGGTGGTATGAAGTGCATGAAATGTTTGTCTTTTCAGCAGAAAAGAAGAGCAGACTTAACAATTAGACTGTTGGAATGAGTTGAGTTTATTTGATGTAGAAGTGTGTGTTCAAGTTGAGCCTGTTTCAAGCAGGATGTTTGAGCATTCCTTCACTGTGCCTGCAATGGGCTTGGCACATGAGACCACTCAGTAGTCTTTCCAGAATATGCTGATGAGAAGTTAATTACTGTGTGTAGGAAAATCATTAATTAGGATACAGTGAGATTAAAACAAATAAAAGATACAACTTTTTCTATAAAATGTAATGACTAAAAAAGCTTAAATTTAACAACAGAAGGTATAAAGAATTAAGAAAGGACAACCGGTCTTGTGAGCTCTGAAGTCTCCAGGACAAAGCACATCATCCTCAATAGGGTCACCCAGACCTTCTTTCCTCTCTATTCTGGGGGCAGATGGGACAGGAGGAGGCCTTTGAAAGCCATTGACATCCCCCCAATGATAATAGAGCTTACACTTTCCAAGACATTTTGCAATATCTTTTCTTGAATTTTCAAAGTTCAAACAAGTGTAATGAATTTTCAGTTTTTATTCTTCAAATCCTTATTTTTAAAGTTGTATTTTTAATGCTTTGCCACTCATTTCCACTCATTGAAAATAAACTAATCTAAATTTTTAAAAAGTTGGGGAAATCAAGGACACTGACATCTTAGTGTATGAAGAAACTGTTTTAGGCTTTCATAGAATTTTATCTTTTCATTCTAACATTCAGGGGCTTCAGTGCAGTTTTCTTCCAAAACCTTTCCAAGTTTAATACAGTACCACCAATATTTAATATGTCTCTGCTCTGTTTAAGGCCCTCTGCTAGATGTTGGAAGGGGTATAAAAATATATCTTAAAGTATCTTCCCTTAGAGTTTATAAATTGGGAGAAGAGATGAGCCTGTGCAGTGAACAGATGGTGATGAAATAAAAGAGAGGCTTATTGGTAATACCTGGGCTTTCAATAAGCCATCATAAACTTCCCTCTCAACACCCTGAAGTAAGTACTAATATTACTTCTGTTTTACTGATAAGAAAATAGAGACTTTGCAAGGTCACACATTTTTGTAGACGGTGGAGCTGAATTCTAAATCTGTGGTTTCTGTCTCCAAAGCTAGTCCTTAACCACTCTCCACGCTGGCTAGAGAGTCCAGAGAACATCATGGACCTGAGGCCTCAGGTACAGAGTCTGGGAGTAGATGGAATTTCTCAGGGTTAGTCCTGGGAGCAGTTGGAATTTTTCTTATGTCTTTGCTCCCTCAAGGTCTCTGATCTTCAGGAAATCAGTCCATTTCTTTTCTACTCCCTGCTGTGACTAAGTAGATACCAACTGTTGCCATTCTTCCCACCAAGGATGACTTTCCATCCTCTCCCAGAGTGTGCACCTGAAAATCTGGCCAGACTTCAAATACAAGCAGCTCTTCCAGGCTAGACATGGTTAATTTACACCACATTTACTTTCTGGACCCAAGTGCTCAATTTAGTCTGTACTTTTGTTCCTTTCCTTGCACACGATATAAGGTGTGACTTTGAAGCTGTACAATATATTCGATGTGTTTTTATTATTTAGGGTACCAAAAGACAATGGTAGGCATATTATAGAAGGCACCAGCATTGTGACAATTGTCCTTTGCATATTTGGATTTTCTGCTTGTTGTGTTTTCATTAAGTAAGCATTTGCTACCCCCTGGAGCAGAGTCCCTTCTTCAGTCCCTTTCCTCGTGCTTGGAGATGCTGGAGGCAGATGATGTGACTTCAAATGCCAGCTTTTCCTATTTCATCTTTAGTTTTTATGATCTCTTTAAGTCTCATGTTCCTCATTTGTAAAAGTGGACCATAATAGGACCTACAGTCTAGTCTGCCGATAATTAACTAAGAAAATGATCGTGACGCACAAAGCACTGTCTGTCTGGGCCATCTAACAATTGAAATTCTCAATAAATGTTTACACACACGCGCACACACACATTTTATTTTCTTCCACTACTTTCCCCTCTGCCCATTTGTATTCTACCTGTGTAGGGATAGTTGGAATCCCTACTTCCCTCCATACTTTTTCTCCACTACTTTCTCTCCTAAAGCCAAGAACATATGAATGACATAAATATACAATAATTGCACATTCACTCACCAGTCTTTGATAAAGACTGTTGCCTTTTCTGTAATTATGGATTTATTGATTAGTATGATGGAAAAGATTATATATACCAAGAAATCTAGTTCAGGCTTCTTTAAAGTGGAACAAGAATGTAGATTATAGAGAACAATATCTGATGAGATTTTTTTAATCTAGTCTTCTAAAAAATTCGGCAACTTCTTTTATACTTATAGTTTATCGGGTTATGTACTATGTTATAAATAAAAATATAATTATTAAATTCTTTAATTAAAAAAAGTAAACTTACACCAGTTTGGGAGCAAAGCCTTCTAGATAAGGTCTGAGTCAGCAGGTGGATCTAAAGCATGAGCACATATACAGCCTTGAGCATCTAGTGTGCCACAGAGAACAGAGTAGATGGAATTGGATAACCAGACAAGTCATTAAATGGTTGGTTAGGAAAGCTTCTACTATCTCTTATTTTTCATAACAGTTTGGATAAAAGTCAGACCTGATTTCCTCTTCTCAGTTCCAGAGAGTGTGTCTTCAGGGCTTTCTATCAACGGTTCACAAACTTTTCCATGTATCAGAATCCACTATAGAGCATTTAAAAAGCAGGTTCTCGAGCTTCATCTAGATATATTAAATCAGTTTTCAGAGCTCTGGATCTGAATTTTTAGCAGGTTTCCCAGGTAATCAGTATACAGAGAGTTTTGAAAACCACTGAATTTTACCAATTTTTGTTTGAACCAAATGTCTGGAAAAGTTTATCCTTTGAAGAGTTTAAACCTGTAAGTGCATCCTACTTGTAAAGTCTTCATAATGAGTATTTCCTTCTACTTGGAGTATGTATACCTCTCATTAAGATGGCCAACACGGAGGGTTATGGACCTCGTCCTGTTCTTTACATTCATTGCATATCATTAGAGTTTTCAGTACAGCAAACCCATGAAAGATGCTTATTGAATAAATACAATGGGAAAACTAAGGAGCAAACATTTGTTGTTGTTTTTTTTTTTTTTTAGTTTTATGAGGACCTTTTTGACCCTATGCCAAGTAGATATTCATATTAATAATTTTCTTGGCAATTAAAATGTTGTTACTTTTTAACTTTATAAGTTTAGATACTGATTTATTATTTTGCCTTAAGAAGTATGTATGATTCCATTTGTTCATTCACAGGTGTGACATTTTTACTACCTATTAGGCTCATTTAACAGATGGGAAAATGCAAATGTGTAGATAATTAGAGTGTGTCTAAGTTATGAATTTTCCATACAATCTAGAATCACCAAGCACATTAAAGTGATTTATTTGAAAGCCATCTGATGATACAACAAATCAGTTTGTTTTGTCCCTGATAGTGGGATTGCCCAGACTCTTAAGAAAGAAGAACTTTTTTTATATGAAATTGGAGGAAATATTGGTAAGCATATCTTTTTTTCTTTGTATTCATATGCTGATTCGACATTGTCATTGGTTATTATTTATATCTTTGGGGCAGGAGAAATTAGTAGAGGTAAAATATAGCACACTGTGGAGGGTTGACAAGCATTGTAGATTTGTTTAGTGTTCTGATCTTTCTCTTCAGACTCTGAGTTCCTTCTGTACAAATGCCTATTTATATTGAACTTCAGCAAAGACAAGTTCCTTAAAAATAGAAATAACTTCTAGAATGGTTAATGAAGTTTTTTAAAGCATCTTTCTTTTTTATATGCTTATGTCAGATCTTAATAAAGGAAGTAGTTGAGCTTATTTAAGACTAAGATAACACTTTTATTAAAGTACAATACTAGATATTTTTAGTGAAAGCAGAAGTTATTTTCACCATTGTTAATTGCTTACTAAATCATACACACAGAGACAGACATATTGGTAATTTAGGAAGTAGAAATAGGGTAAATGGTTTAATTTTGTCCATGTCTTAGATTTTATTTGATCATTTATAATTAATTATCAGTGGATTGTTCTCATCTCGTTATTAAAATTTAAAAAATACTTTATTCTTTTTTTTAACTCAATATGGTTAGGGTGAAAGTGTTAACAAGTAAATGAAATAGTGTTTATTTCAAAATAGTAACTGAAATATTTTAAGATAAATTTTGTAGAATTCTTTTTCTAGGACTTAAAAATATTAGTAAATATTAAAAGTTAAATACAGAAATGTAAAGGTTCATTCTTAAAATTTAAATAAACCACAACTCCATTAGAAACCTGGAATTGTTAACTTCATCAGTAAAGATTATTTGAATATTAACATATTTGATTTTTCATTTTACTCTGAGATATATTTATTTCTCAATAATTTGGTAATTTCTTAGGTGGATTCAAACCTATTGCCATTCATTAAAGATAAATAAGCTTTTAAGGAACTATTTAAAAGCTTATCACACGAAATATTTTAACTGTCTGAATTAATTTGAAACTTGTGCAGGCAAAGATTACAAAATTGAATTTTCCAATATTTTTGGTCAAATTTTGAAGTTATGTGAAATGAGAAAGGATGAAAAGTATTTGACATCTAAGACTTCAGAGTTAAACTATTAGGTTTAAGTTTAAAATTGAATCCCAATCACTCAAATGTATTAAACAAATGCAACATCTATTTAATAGGGGAACGCTGCCTCGATGATGAAACTTACATGAAGGACTTATATCAGCTCAACCCAAATGCTGAGTGGGTTATAAAGTCCAAGCCGTCATAGAAGACTTACAGAAGGCTAATGCTGCAGGAGGGCTTCCTTAATAATACTTGCTGGGTCAGGACTGTAAATAAAAGAAACTACAGGACTCTTTTATTATTCAAATGTACTCAACTATTGAATAGTGACATTCTTAAGCCTTAAAAAGTTATAAATTTGTGCTGCTGCCAGAATTATGTTAATTATTATTATTAATATTATTAGAAAACAAATATCACCAAAGTGAGAGAAAAGGGGATTAATTAGCTTGTAGACTATTTTCATATACTCTGTGAAATGTGCTCAGATGTGACATAGTTTTTTAAATATGAAATATACCCCTTTCCCTCTCACTTTTTTCTCCAAAAATTATATATAGAATAATATATGCTTTCTCACCTTTCTCTCTTCTTCACATTTGCCTTTTCCCAATTAGGTTTGCTTTTTAACTGAAAAAGATAACAAGTACTAGGTATGGCAAGTCGTGATGACAATACGTCTTAAAACAGCCTGAATTCAACAGGATTCCTATGACTGTCGAATGTTGAATATTCATCTCTTTGAATCATTTGTTGAAACAATAACATTCTACTTCTCCCTACTGTGTCCCATGAAGTGATTTGCATTTTTTCAGTTCATCTGACATATGCGCACAGAACTATATTCACTGTCAAGAAAAGAGCACTGTCAGAAACTGTCAATTGTTACTGAACCATTAAAGATTTACACACTAAGAATAAATAAAATATATCCATGTGGAATAACTGGATTATGTCTAATAAGAGAGTGAAAGCCAAATCACTTCATTTATGCTGTACTCTTCTAAATGAAATTTAAAAAGTTGTAGCTAGCTTTACCTATTGTCATACTAGCAAATAAATATGTATGAGAGTATAATCCCAGTAATGGTTGAAAATGTATTCTACTGAAAGAGGGATTTTTTTTTTTTTTACTCATAAATAAGTCTGCAGGAAGAGTGATTTTTCTGGGTATGACACAGTCATATGAACAAGCTTTTGTTTATGTACTTATTTTAAATAACCAGAGTAAATTTATTAAAATGCTGCAGAAAGTACTATTCCCAGGGATTTTAATGCACAAACCATATTGTGACAAGACATGAGCCTCTGTACTGTAAATAAGAGGAATGAAGTAAGAGAAAAATGTCCAATATTTTATGAGTTTAGAGTGTAGTAAATAAAAGGTGATGTAAATGAATGTTGCTCAAACTGTGTTTATGGTACTTTTAGTAGTACTTTAGGAAAAATTACACATTCTCAGAAACTCTTGATGTCACTCTAATTAGGAGGGAAGATGTTGTTAATGAGAATAGTCATAAATTTTTAGCATATAATTATAAGAACAGCCTGTGGATATGATCATTTAAATAACTTTTTGGTGATTTGTGCCATTGCTTTTTTATTTAATTTTTTTTTATAATTAAATGCATTTTTCTAAATTATATTCTCTTGGAATTATTACTTTAAGTCCTATGTTCATGAGTGTACTAATGGACTATTTTCTTTTTTGTTAAAAGCCACTTCTGCTCTTTTATTGCTCTTGTGTAATTTTTAAAGTGGGAAGACGTGGGAGATATAAACTTGTTTTCTTTCTTAGTTTTTTTTCTTAGCAAATTTTTATTCTTTAGGATTTTTCATAGCACACTGTATTCAGTTTCTGATTTTGACTATATATAGAGTCAGTTTTTCTGTTAGCAAACTGTTTTATAAGTGGTTTAATTTATTGAAAACAATTAACGATATGAAAGCAAAATCAAGTGCTTAAAACATTTTAGGTGCACAACTTCAAAAGACAGGAGTGAATATAATGATTTAGATAAATGGTTTCCTAAAGCACATGTCAACTAATTTCCACTACATTTACTACCCACTCTAGGGGAAGGGGGTGGCACAAGAGGCTTTTGGTAATGAAAAAGTACCAGATCTTGGTAAATAAATATGAAAATATTTTATTTTGAGTTTTTCATAGAACTCATGACCTTTGTTCATTGACACTGAAAACATTGCATTTAAATAACCAATAAGGATGTCTGTCTATACCTTTAAAGAGAAACTTGATAGTGTAGAGTCTCAAATTAAATGCCGCAGAATTAACCCAAATGCTTTCTCTGTGATTTTGTTTTTCCAGCGAATTTTGAATCTTAGGGTCGATTAGTTTTTATTTGTTTGTGTGAGGGGAAATAAAAACAACAGATATATTAATTTTGAGTCTCAAACATCCTAAGTCTTAAGGGAGTTGCTGGTGAAAAGTAAAGAGCTGGTGTTTATAGAAAATGGATTGCCCTGTTAATATTTCAGAGATGCTACTGCTTTTCTGAAGGGTTATTCTAATTGTTTACAAATACACAGTGTTTGTTTACTGCTGCTGTAGGATTAAATATAAATTCTTTGCTAGCACTCTTTGGGAGAAGCAGTTTTGATTTCATGGGATTTTTCATTATTGTCTTTTCCTACTTTTTCTTAAACTGGGTTGCACTTTCAACCTCATTGTCCTGATTTCTCACCTACTGATCAGTAGGTGGCGGTATTGCTCAGGGATTCCTTTGCAGCTAAACTGGGACGTTTTGAAAGTGAACTGGAGTTCATAGGTAAGTGCTTCAGACTCAGTGCAGGCACAAGGCGATTAGGTTCAAGGACACCATGGATCTCTCACTTTAATCACTGATTCTGAAAATTGTAAATAATGATTCATTTCAAAGTTTCTTTGCTCAGTCTATTAGTCTGCTTTTATCCTTAACCTGTTGAATGGAAAAAGAAGAGAAAAGGTTTATATGAACTGGAATTAGATGTTTTGGCAATGTCTATTTCAAGCAGAAGGATCAGAACAAGGAAAGACTGAACAAGGAAGGTAAAAAGAGGAATGCCTAAGATAGAAGATTTGTGACCATCTTTATTTTAGTATATATGTGTTTGTGTCTTCATTCAACAAATATTTACTGGTCACCAACATATATGTGTCAGGCACGATTTACCCTAAGGTACATCAGTGAGAAAAATAGCTCTGCTCTCATAGAGTCTACATTCTAGTGGAGGGAGACAAATAATGAATTGAACAAAATGAATTAATACATAAATAAAGTTATTGGTATGTTAAAAGGTTGTAAGTGCAATGGAGACAAGAAAGGTGAGCAGATTAAATGGGACAAAGTGGAGGGATGGGCTCACTGCAGTAGTAAACCAGCTCTTGCTGAACTTCTGATAACTGAGCAAAGATTTGAAGGAGGTGAGAAACTTGCCACATGGATGTCTGGGAGAAGAGCATTCCAGACAGAGGGAAAAACTAGGACTGAGGCCCAAAGGCAGAAGTGTACCTGGCTTACCAAAGATAAGGATACCGGAATGGCTGGTGGGGTGAAGGCCAGTGAACATAATAGATGAGGTTACAGAGGTAACATGGGTGAGATGCAGGTGAAACTACAGGGGGCCTTGTACTAAGGTGACTATAATTTATTCAAATTAGAACTTTTTGAGAGTGAAGCAGGACACTGTAGGTGAGGGCAGTAACTGTGGAGTGATAAGAAGTGGCAGATTCTGGGTATATTTTTGAAGGTAGAAGCTATAGGGTTTCCGATATGAGAGAAAATGCATTTTTGAGAATAACTACAAGATTTTCAATATGTGCAACTGGAAGGAAGGATGGAATTTCTAACCGCAGAAATAGGGAAGGTAATTCAGGTTTTCTGAGGGAGGAAGGATCCAGGATGTGTTGAATTTCAGGTGCTTGTTGGATGGATATCCAAGTGACAGTGGTAAGTAGGCGGTTATCTGTGCAGAAGTGCTGGAGGAAGGTCTGAGCTGGAGTCACTTGCATGTAAATGGACTTTTAACTTTAACCATGAGCTTGCATGAGATCACCAAGAGTGAGTGTGGATATAGTAGAGAAAATCACAGAGAGCACAGCCTCGGAGCTACCCAACACTACAGGTTAGAAAGAAGAGAAGGAATCAGCGAAGAGATTAAAGAAGGGACCATTGAGATAACCAAGAGATTGTGATGTGCCAGAAGCCAAATAAAGAAAGGCTATCAAGGAGAAGGGAACGATGGTAATATTGGATCCTAATTACAGCTCAAATGAGCTAAAGACTAGAATTGGTCCTGGATTTATCTATGTGGAGGTCATTGCTGACCTTGTTTAACTGTTTAAGTAAAGCGTTAGGGGTAAAAGACTGATTATAACAGTATTAAGAGAGAGTGGGAGAAAAGAATCAAATACCCTGAGTTTGGACAAATCTTACAAGGAAGCAAATAAGTGAGATTTTAGCAAGCAGAAGGAGAAGTAGAAAGTGTTTTTAGAGGGCATTGAATGCTGGGTTTAATATATTTTTTTAAATTGCAGTTAAGTAATATTTTAAGCGGATGACATGGGTACTGGAGCCAGACTACCTGGGTTAACAAATGTGACCTAAGAGGAGTTGGTTACTGTGCCTCACTTTCTACTTTGTAGAACTAGACTTCAAGGGATATTTGTTTTTTAAAAGCTTAGTAGAACTAATTACTCCATATAAAGGGTTCTGCAGTGTATTTTTCCTGATAGTAATTATTCAATATGCCTGAGTAATTTTATTAGTGGTATTATGATCAATATTATCAATTATCAATATTATCTCTGTCTCATTCGGGGTTATTGGTTCCAATGGCATATCACTTTTCTAACCTGGAAATTCGTGGCAGTACCTCTTCCTCAGAGCATCTGTAACACTATAAAGGGCACAGAACACCTTTTCAGAAATAATTCCAGGACATTTTTTCTCTATTTCGAGTAAGGTTAATTCAACTTTAAATATGATTCGTGTCATTTAAGGTAAATAAACTGGCATAAGGGACAAAGTTCTTCCTCTGTTTCTCTGACCAAAAGAAAACAAACTCTTACTCAGTTTATTTTCCATACTTCATACTTTTTAACTCCTAGGATGATCTTGAGCATCTCCAATTGGTATTAGTGGCACCTGCTGACACAGGTGCTACTTTGTTTTCTTGGTTTTTCTAGGTCAGTAAATTTTCAAATCTTATATTTAATAAATACAGCAATAAAAATTTCATTTCAGTTGGCTTTACATCTTAGAATCTGGACTTGGTATTCAGCTTCTATTTCACTTCTGACCTAAAATATTGCATGAGGGTAACTCAGCTCTGGTAGAAAGGGTTTTATATGAAACATTAGAACTTCTTTGAAGGGTTTCATGAGTTATTTTCATGTAGCTGCATATTGCATGAGAGAAACAGATTAGTTGCAAGAAAAGCATTGCTCCTGTGGTATTTCCAACTAAGACCAATATGCACTACCTTTGTCACAAGCAAGACTTTTATTTTGAAATTTGAAGTCTTGATTCCTCAGCCGAAGGAGCTCAGATAAGCTTCAGGGAAGGCAGCCCCACTTTCCACCGCTTACTCCTCTTTTGATGTTCACCCCTTGTTATACCTGGGCAGCTCAATTCTGTCTCTTGTTGCATCTCCTATAACCTTTACAAAATGATGGCTTTCATATAATCTCTGTCTTAAGTCACATTCCAGGGCCAAAGTGAACAGGAATTTCTCCTGGAGAGAAGTTCAAAAGGAGAGTTACAGAGTGGACCAATTCTGAATAGTCAATTAGCCAAAATTTTCTTTCACCCGACAGTAGCCTTTTTACAAATACAAAAAGGAAGTGATTTATTCATTAATTGTGTCTTAGCTTTGGTTGCTTGTATCACCCAGTTTCTATCTGACTAGAGAGAATTCTACTGAGAACACGAAGAATTAACTATTAAGAGATTATGCTTTGACTTTGTCCAGGAATCATGAACACATTCTAGGGCATGCCTTCTTCATCATGCTAATCTTTATGTTGAAGAGGAGGGAAGGAATTAACTCTCTTGATTGTTAATAAATTTTAGGTATTACTCAATGCCTTAAGGTATACCATATTTCATTCAAAAACGTTATAGTAAGGCATACCTTGAAGGTTCAGAAATAAGCATGGTATCCACTTATTTCACTTTCTTCCTTTCTTTTTTCCCCCAAATATTTTAGTGCTTGTTGTGTGCTACACTGTAGTTTATATCGTGGTGATGTAAAAATCAATCTTATGATGCATTTCCACAGGAGATTAGATTTAGATTTGTGGAAAGCATTGATACAGGCTGGTGACAGGGAACATATTCCCAGCAAAAGGGCTATAATTTCAGGGAGGCAGAAATAGGTGCAACTGAAGAACATTAATTGGGTCGTTGTTAAAGGAGGCAGTAGAATTTAAACTGAAAGCTCAGTTAAGATATCACAGATTAGACCAGAAAGGATGAGACTCAGAACTAGGTCTATGACAGTGAAGATGAGTGAGAATGGGTTATATTGATGTTGCAGAATTGGAGTTAAGAGGATGCGATGATGCCATTGGATGTAGAAGAGTGAGAGAAGGAGATGTTCAAGATCCCTGGGAGAAGATGATGGTACTTTTTGCTGAGTCCCAGAATAGGGAAACTACTGGTTTGGGATGAAAGGATTGAGGTAAGAGACAGAGGAGTATTATAGGTGTGGAAGGGGAAAAAATGAGTATATGTTGAGCATGCAGTGTGTGAAGAGCTTGATCAGAGAAAATAGACATCTTCAGGTAATATTTCTTTGAAAGGTATATATTTAGAAAATACATTTATGGGAGTGATAAAGTCATTGGAGAAAAAAGGATGGTCCCCTCAGAGTATAAGGACAAGAGAGGGCAAAGAACAACTTTGAGGCATGTTTCCCTTCACTTAAGGGAAGCACAAAGGAAGAGTGTTAGAAGGAGCAATTCAAACCACAGTAGTAGTGTCAGAAGAGTGAAGATCATAGATGCCAGGGAAGACAATAGGTTTAGAAAGGAGGCCAACTACATCAAATAATGAGAGAATTAAACCAAAGATTGAGTAGAAGCCATTGGAACTGAAGTTTACAAGTTCGTGGCTGACCTAGAGAGCAGGTAGTTTTGGTGTGATGGGAGCAGAAGCCTATTGCAGTAGGCCAAGATGTAAATAGGGATTGGAAATTATGAATTTAGTTGGGATTGTTGGGGAGGGGGCGGAAGGAATAAGGTTTATCAAGATTTTCTTCTCTTTTTTTTTCTTTGATATTTCGCAGAGCGGAACCTT